GGAATGTACAAGAGGGGTCCAACTATCCAGGGCTGCTGCATGTAGTAGGGTGATGCTCTAGGGCAGGGTTTTTCAGCCTTTTTAAGTAAGTGTACCCCCCGTAGCCAAATGCAGAGCTGGGGGGGGGGTGCGCATCCGGACACAGAGCACAGGGGAATGGAGGCTGCAGCATGCAAGCTTCCTGGCTCCCACCACATCTGGCTCAGAAGAGCTCCGTTGCCCTCACCCTGCCACGGCCCTGCTTCTGGGAAGCGGTGGTGTGGGGTGGTGGGTAGTGGTGCTCCATCCCTGCCCGCCCACTCGTACCCCCTAGGGCCTTCCCAAATACTCCCAGTTGACAACCGCTGTTCTAGAGAATCTGTCTCTGCTCTTTGGGCTTTGTATATATGAGAGAGCCACCTTCCTTTTTTAGGATAACCCTATGTTTCTTCCTTAGGGACTGTTTCCTCATTCTGTCCTGCTTGTGCATAATATATATGTATATAAGTAGAAAATTGGTAACATATATTTGAACAACAGCAGCATTTTCTGAAGACAAATCAGAATTATGTTCTAGCATTACTACCATATATTGTTAACAGTTGTTTACTATATGACCTGCTGTAAATTTAAAAAGTTTTCTATAATTGTTTTAGAAGTTTCTTCATTTTTGGATGTACAATTAATATTTTTGTTGTTGCTCCAGAATGATGATATAGAGACAGATATTGATAAGCTGAAACCAAAGCAAGAATTGGGACGACCCATTGAAGAACTAAAAATATATGAACAGTTTTTCCCTGAACTTGCGGAGAACTTTCAGGTAAAGTATGTTGGCATTTATGAATTGTAGTACTGTAATACTTAGCTCAATTACAGTCCGTTTTTTCTAACTCTGTGTATCAAAAGATTGCTTGCTAAACATCAGATCAGTTTTCTGTGCAAAACTCCTGAGGATAATGGGTTTATTTAGATGACAGAAGACATTATTTCAAAACTATTATTATTTCATTGAATGTGGGTCACTGTTTGATGTTCAGAATTTTTATTACAGCTAGTGTTACTAAAGAAGGGGGAAAAAAACCTTGACTCAGCACTGAACCTGTAGGGCCCTAGCATAGAAAATAACCCCCTCAGTGGAATATGTCTTATATGCCAGTTATTAAAGTTCTTTTGTTTCAAGTTATTGAAGCTGTGCAAAATGTCACTATCTGTTTTGTTTCGACGCTGTTTTGACTCATTTTGAGGTTGAAACAACAAAATCAAAGTGAAACAAAGAGCGTTGAAATAGCCTTGAAACAAAACGAGGCTAGTTGAAATGTTTCAAAAGTCAAAATGTTTTGATCATAGCACTAGGGACGGGAAGTCATTCCAGCTGGGTTGCCTTCCCATCCCCCACGCTAGCTCGCCTACCTCCAATCCAGGTGTAAGAAAGAAACCATAATCCATTTAGGTTACAAAAATGAGACTTGGGTATTAGGGCTGTGGGAAATGGCACTGTTCTGTTCCGACTTCTGTTTCGAGGTCTGGATGGAACAGTGTTTTGAACTAAATTTCATTTCGAGTCGAAACAGCCTCACCGTTTCGCTTCGTCAAAACAGTGAGGCTGTCTTCATGCTGTTTCGATGTTTTGCCTGACCATCGGGCTGAGTTTGTTTCCCCAGCTGGCCCATCATGCCCGGGGTGGAGAGTCAGCCCAGCTGGACTGACTCCCCATCCCCGGCGCAATCTAGTGTGGCGGAATGGGAAGGCAGCCCAGGTGGGCTGACTTCCTTCCCCTGGCGTAATTGTGGGGCTGGGGATGGTTACTCAGCCCAGCTGGGCTGAGTTCCTTTTCCCAGCGCGATGCTCCCATTGCGGCAACAAACTCAGCCCAGCTGGGCTGAGTTTCCCCGTCCCAGTGGTCGGGCAAAACATTGAAACAGTGAGGCTGTTTTAACGAAGCAAAACAGTGAGGCTGTTTTGACTTGAAATGAAATTCAGTACAAAACACTGTTCCATCCAGACCTCAAAACTGAACTTGGAACGGAACAGTGCTGTTTCGCACAGCCCTAATACCCAAGTCTCATTTTTGTAACTCAAATGGGTTATGGTCTGTTTCTTACACCTGGATTAGAGGTAGGGCAAAAAAGGGAAGGAAAATCACATTGTTGAACTATGCTTATTCTTTGTCAGAAAGAATTTTATTTGTTACGTGTTTTACATAGTGCACAATACCTACCATCTTAATTTAATGATGCCATTTAAAAAGTTCTGATTTGAAAGTTTTGCAAGCATTGGTGCTTCATTAAGCTGGTATTTTGGGATTTCCCTTTTGGACAAGATGAAGTTTTGCAAAGTTGCTGTGACTGTAGTTTGTCTGCCTGTCTTAAATAGAATAAAATTTTCTTTAGAGCATCCTGGATGGCCTGTGCCAAAATATACTTCCTTTAAGGAAAAAGGATATCGCTGTCAGCTTACACAAACCAACTTCTAAGAGCTTCAGAAGTTTCCTAATCTTTATTTATTTATTTATTTATTTATTTATTTATTTTATTAAGGAATATGACCTAGTCTCCAAGGAACCAAAGCCTTTTGCATCTGCTACAAATCTAGGTGGACCTATTGTTGTTCCCACAGCAGGAGATGAGCACCCTGCAGAAGCGAATCAGTCAGTAAAAGGAATTGCTGTGAAGGACCGCAGTTCCTTACAAATGGAGGAATATAATAAGAGACCATGCTTGCTGGATCTGCCAAAGAAAGACCATAACAAAGATAGTTTACAGCTGCAAAATGATCAAAAGAAATTGCTTTCATCCTGTCAGTGTCTAAGCCAAGAAATTGTGAAAGGCTTGGACAGAATCACTTTGCAGAATACTTCAAAAAATGAACAGTATTACAGTACAGGGTGCCTAATAAAGAAAGAAAGTAAAACTAGCCTTACCACCCCCACTTGTAATAAACCTTGCCAACATGTTTCATCTTGTGGAAGTGGCCTGTTTGAGGGACCGTCAGTCCAGCTAGGGAAGCTGTGCTGCACTGGAGTAGATCCTGAAGAGGAGGAGGATTCCAGCTCTCATTCATCAGGAGAGCAAGTGCTACTTGAGGTGCCTGATATGTTGCCACTCCATGACCCCGATCTTTATATTGAGATTGTGAAAAACACTAAGTCTGTCCCTGAGTATTCAGAAGTGGCTTACCCAGATTACTTTGGGCACATTCCACCTCCGTTTAAGGAGCCAATCCTAGAAAGACCATATGGTGTTCAGAGGTGAGTTGGTATATTTCCTTCAAGAATAATCATTGTAAGAATACCAATAGGAAGTTACTCTTCAATGTGTAAATGGTACTGTCTTATTTATGATTAAGACTTGAAGTGTTTTCAAAGAATCCCTTTGAAGGCAATTTTATGACTTTCTCAACCAATTCAAAGTGGTTAGTACAATCAGAATCTGATGTTTAATTTTTGTAAGGTATTTTCAGCATAAATTTTATATTTACGCTTTCTAAAGATTAATTTGCAAGAAAGCACCCTTGTTATATTTAGGAATATGGACATGTAAACTTAAAGTACAAACACGGGCTGATCTGCAAAATTGTTTAGTAAAATATTTTCAAAGCTGCAAATTAGTGAATTATAAATGATTTACATTCCTAGTTTCATTCTAGCCTGTAAATTACAAATGTATTATTGGATAAAAACTTAAAACTTTCTAAAAGGGCCTCTGAAATTCCCTGTCAAGGAAGAGCATGTGAAATTCCCTTAGGCCTTACATACTGGGGACTAACCAATTCCTTACGAATCCTATAGTTCCTGTGTGTGTGTGTATTGTTTGTCTCCTTCCCTGTTATACAAACACACCTGATTGTAAATACACTTAAATATATTTATTTTTTCTGATACTGCCTAGAGATCCAAGTATGATCAGGCTCCACTATACTAGATGCTGTACACACACACACAATTAAAATAAATCCTTGTTCTAAAATAAATCCTTATTTTAAGGCGCTTACCCTCTTTAGATGGGATCTGCCAGATGGATGAATAAATCAAAGGGAATTAGAGGGAAGGAAGGGCAATAATAAGAGAATGTTTTGCATAAACTTGCTGTGTGGACTGTTTTGTAGGCAGGAGATCTTATAGAGACAAATAAGTAGGTCAGCAGCACCTGTTATAGTAAGTACATTAGCTTGCCACCAACCTAGCAGCTAGCTTTTATCTTGAAATTTTTCAGTTTTATTCTTGTAATTTTTCAAGTGTTTTGGGAGACTTTTAGCATCTGCCTTCCCATGACTATTAATTAATATGGTGAGCTTAGCTAAAAGTGAAGTATAAGTAACATTTCTCTTGGTTCGCACTAGTCCTTATTTAAGATTGGCATAAAAATTACTTTTACTAGGTGGTGTTCGGCCAATACAAAGGTAATAAAACAATGAAAGCATTGAACAGTGCTTGTTAGTAACATCACTGGAGATTAAGGGTCTGCTCCCTGTGCTATTTTTTAAAGGATAAGCTGATTTGGAAGCCAATTTAATTACCTTTTCTGGTTCTGGTCATTGTTTAGCGCACACCTTTTGTATATCATCTGACATTTCTCAGTGCTTTGGTCATTTTTTTTCAAAAAGCATATAAAATGTTCTATCTTACATTTAGAGGAATCTTTAAAACTGGTAAAGTTGGAGTGTGTTCTAATTAATATAAATGGATTAGGGTACCAAGGCAACTTCTTTTTTTCAAAGGGAATGTCTGTCTTTGTGCCTAAAGCTGCTGTGAATAATCTTAGAATTTTTGGCTTTGTTTTGTTACTGGCTGTAGATCTTTGGTCGATGAGTTACTTTACAGAGTAATTCAAAGTAACTTCATTTATTCTATGGGATAAGCATGGAATTCACACAGACCCTGTTATATTTGATTTATATGTCTATAGTGCCTTTCTTACTGTGTGCCATCCTATAAGAGTTCAGTGGTAATAGATGATTCAATTTGTCAGGTTACTACAGTATGATGAATTTGTAATAAAGAAACCTATTTAAAGTAGACTTGGCCTTTCCAGGAATTCAGACTTTGTAACACATTTGAAAATGAGTTTGGTTGGAGGCCTAGGACAGAGTTTTCAAAAATACCTTAAGTGAATTAGTGCAAATTCTGATGACATTCAATGGAGCTTACACACGTAAATCAGAGACCGACATCCTTTTCTTGCCACATTGTGGAATGATCTGGCTTGGGTTCAAGGTGGGTCAGCATGTGATATGCTAGCTAATGCTGACAGGTGTCTGTGTAAAGACGAGGGGAAGGGGGAATCTCTGCTTGAGCAGGGAGTGGCGGGGCAGAGCAGGGGTACGTCAGGCAGATGCCACTGTACCTGCAGTCTCTGCTGGAGTTCTGGCCAGGGAACAGAGCAGAGCCCCTCCCAGGGTTGAAAAGCATCTGGGATGTTGGAGGACTCTGATTTAACTCAAACCAGGAAGGGGTCTGGAACAGACATTGCATAAACTGGTTTGACCCAAATCTGTTAGGTCTGATACTGCATTCAACCAGGTTTATCTCAAACTGATTTCAGCCATTTTCAAACTGGTTTATGTGCACTGGACATCTGCTCTGTTATGGGTTTAAATCAGTTTCCGATCACTTAAACTGGTTTATGTGTAATATCTGTCCCTAGCCATAAACTTCAGAAAGAATGGTCAAACAATGCCCCATGCAGAAAAAGTGTTGTTTTTTTTCATGAGAATGCTACTGGTTTGAGTGTGTTCAGACAAGGAGGTGATGCCGATGCTTTGGAGTAGCACCAATAACCTAAATCTGAAATGGAGAGCCTAGAAGTAATTCTGGGTGTATGCTCAGGTGGAATCCTCCTTGTGGAAATTCTGTACACCAGGAGCAAAAGCAACTGGATGGGCCGTGCTTCTCAGCAGAAGTCTTGAACGGCAGTGTAGAAAGTGCGTACCCATGCCTTTAGACTCCTTCATACTAGCTTCTAATAGTTTTTTTGAAAGCAGTTATGTGTTAAAAGTATTGTTTGTTATTTATGTGTAGACATCAACAGATGTTTTGGGGTTGGTTTTGTTTTAATCATTTTGCATGTTTTCTCTAGGTAATAGCCTTCTGGTGTTTCCATATGTCATGCCTCTTTCAGTGATATTCTCTGTATTGGAGTGGAAGTCACCTTGCTTATCTTTCCCTTTATGTAGAATTTAGGAGGAAATCCTTTAGACTGGAGATGTTTTTATAACATAGTACAAATAAGAGTGGGTTATGTTGCATGGTTAGGTAAGAATAGCGATATCCTTTATTGTAGGGGTGTGCAAAACGGGTCCTATTTGATTTGAATTTGGCCCGAATCGGGGACAGTGATTCAGTTTGTTGATTTGGATCATTGTCTCTGATTCGCTTCGGCCGAATCTGAATCTGAAGTTTCGATGCTGATTCAGAGAATCAGCGATTTGGATATAGACACACCTTTAAATGTTTTATTTACATACCTCAAGATACCGGGCGCAGCTCATGAATGCTGTGATCCTGGGGCAGGTGGAGCGTCCCACAGGAGCATGGGGGGCTCCCGCACGCTTGGCAGCAAACCCGGAAGTGGATCGGAATTACTTCCAGTCCACTTCTGGGTCCACCAAGGAGTGTGCAGGGCTCCCCCCACCCCCTGGCTCAGCGATTGGCTGCAGGGGGACCCTGGGTGCCTCCCCAGACCCAGGAGGCACCAGTCACTGAGCCAAAGGTTTCCAGGGGGACCCTCCAGTGCACTCCCCAGTGGACCTGGAAGTGGACTGGCAGTGCTTCTGGTCCACTTCTAGGTCTGCTGCCGATCGCACTGGGGAGCCCCCCGTGCTTCTGTGAGACACTACATGTGCCCCAGCATCACAGTGTTGGCAAGCTGTCTGCTACCTAGAGGTATGTAGAAAAAATATTTAAAGCTGTCTATGCCTGAAACACCAAATCTCTCCAAATTGATTCCGAGGGTTCCGATTTGATTTGGAGAGATTCAAGGGTCCTCGGATTTGGAGATTCGGCTGCTGAATTGGGCCGAATCTCTGCTGAATAGAATCAGGGTCCAAAGCTTTGCACACCCCTACTTTGTAGTTCAGTTGGGAAGTTCAGTTAACAGGGGGTAGCATGACTTTGTCTGACACCACTTAGTATAATTTACATTTTGACAATTCCGATGTTGTACAATGGGTAAAACTTTTCAATATATATTTATGAAGTGTTTATATATTTATGAAAAATCCCTTAGGCTTTTTTGTCGATTAGAGGTAATTACTTATCTCTAATGCAGATATGCTGAAGTAATTGATTAATACATAAATACCCATTCTTTTTCTCTTATCCATGAGATTTTGGGGCTTTTTTATTGTACATATCAGGGTTTTCTAAGGATCAGGTATATGGAAACTAGAATGCTCATGCAAGACCCTTGAATCACCTGGCTCAAAACTTAACCAAAATTCTAAATTATTTTATTTATTGGATAGCTTCTGAACCTTATGCCTGAGGTGAGAATCCAAGAGTGTGAATTTCTTATAATTGCTGCTGGTATAGAACAAAAATTGTAGGTTAGTAATTTCCTGCTTCTCTATTTTTTGCCCTGTTTTTCTATGCATTTGGCTCATCACTGTCATGTCAGTATCTCACAGCCATTAATATTTTATCCTAGCAGTATCCATGTGAGCTAGCACGCTGAGATTTAGCAGCTTGTACAAGATAACATGGTTAACAAGGAAATTTGCAATTAACCACTTTTTTTTTGCCTCCCCAATACTCAGTGTTGCTTTGTGCAGAGCGATACTAGCATGGGACCAGCCTTGGACTCCACTTTTATGCATTTTGCTATTAATCTGCTTCCTTCTGTTTTTGTTGCAGGTGCTGTGCAAACTTTCCCACACAGCCCTGACAATTCATTTCATTTTTGAACTGCAACACAATCATGCTTTTCCAACCCAGGGCCTAGATATTGCCAATTCCTCTGTAGTTTAATGATATGGATAAATGTCCACCTGGCGTTTCTCTCTCGCTCATTTGTTACCTAGTCAGTATATGAACCCAGGTGTCCAGAGGTGAAAAGCTAGCTCACTAACCCACTTACTGCATAGTTTAGTCCTCTACTGTTCCTTTTTAGTATACAGTGAGACCATATTTATGAATTGCTAATACAACTGAATCTTTCTAAAATATTACCTAAATTAATTCCAATAAAATACCTGGTAATTCCTCCTTCTACTGTAGATTTATAAAAACAACCCCCTCACCCCCCAAATATTTTATATATTCAACCCCAAAGGGTTTTGTGCATGCGGATTCAACCTCTGCACATGCAGATATTGGAATCTATCACTTGTCGAGTGCAAGCACCTGCAATCACAAGTGCAATTTTGTGAGTTTGCGTACATAAGTAAGGTTGAGTCTCACTGAAAATTGAGCTACTTAGCTTTGTTTTTGTCAGAGTTTTTGGTTGATGCTTAGATAGATATGCACCATGTCTAAAATGACAAATGTAGAATGTGTTTAAATAAGATCTCCTTTCTTATTGTAGGACAAAAATCGCTCAAGATATAGAAAGACTGATTCATCAAAATGATATTATAGATAGAGTTGTATATGACCTTGACAATTCCAGGTACGTTTTACATGTTATAGAAGTGATCATTTTCTGTGCGATGATTGGATATGCTGATTTTGCTTTCTTGAGGGTGAATTTTGTGGGGAAGTCTAATCCTAATGAGAACATTATTGCACAGTTTTTTTGATTGTGCATGTCTTTATTTTGAGCAGGTTACTAATACCAAATTTTAATTATTTATGGATTAACTAATGAGTTCCAAAGGTCCATTTCTTTTGCTTTAATTGGATGTTTATATTTTGAAGCTGTTCAGTGCCAGAAGAAGGAGATATCTTGAAGTTTAACTCCAAATTTGAGTCTGGGAATCTGCGCAAAGTTATTCAGATTAGGAAGTAAGATTTCCCCCCCACCCCCTCTTTTGTATAAGAACTGCACATTTCTAATTTTAGGAAGACTTAATTTGTCTTTGTTCATCTCCAGAAATGAGTATGATCTTATTCTGAACTCCGATATAAACAGCAATCATTATCATCAGTGGTTTTACTTTGAAGTCAGTGGAATGAAGACAGGAATTGGTTACCGGTTTAACATCATCAATTGTGAAAAGTCAAATAGTCAATTTAATTATGGTAAGGCATGTTTTCTATCTGCTTACAAAGAAGAACATAAGAGTATGCACTGGGCTATCCAGAGCAGGATAATTGTTTTAAGGATCACTAGCATGTTCATTTCTCTTTTTACAAATTAAACTCAGTACTTGTGACTAGAAAACTTCTGACTGGCTCAGTTTATAACAATAATTCTTGTTATGCGTACAACTGAAATAAAGGCTGTCACAATAAAGCTATAGAAAGGATAAGTCATAAATTATTGATTAACATGGGATTCAAGGTCCATCATAGTATGAAACCATCAAACTCCTCTCACCTCTTTTTATCACACTAACGGGAACTTGTCTTAGCATCATGGAGTATGTGAGGCTAATATGTACTTATCACACCGCATGTTAAACTTAACCTGAACCTGCTTTTGCAAGGATACTCGAGATACAATGATAGGAAAATATGGCTGGAAGAGACCTCAGGAAGCCATCAAGATCGAACATCTTCAGTGTATTTACTCAACAGGAACAGCATCTGTTGTTTGAGCCCAGT